CCTCGGCGTCGCCTGGTCCTTTGGCGGCATGATCTTCGTCCTCGTCTACTGCACCGCAGGGATCTCGGGAGGACACATCAACCCCGCGGTCACGTTTGGTCTGTTCTTGGCACGGAGAGTGTCGCTGATCCGGGCGGGGCTGTATGTGGTAGCGCAGTGCCTGGGTGCCATTTGTGGGGCCGGGATCGTGAGGGGTCTGCAGGGGGGGTTTTACGTGAGGTACGGTGGGGGAACTAATCGGTTGAGCGATGGCTACTCCAAGGGCACCGGGCTGGCTGCTGAGATTATTGGCGCTTTTGTTTTGGTTTACACGGTTTTCTCTGCCACCGATCCTAAGCGCAATGCTCGTGACTCTCACGTCCCGGTAAGCTAGCTAGCTTCTTAGTTTCACCCTTTGGATTTAACTAGTACGTGGCAAAAGTTTCAGTCAATTGTTGTGTTTTGTTTAAAAATTAATGTCCTGGCTGTTTTCATCTGGAAATTGAACATATAATTATCCTGGAATCAGAAGAAAAACACCTCCCGCGTTTCACTGATTAATAATAGTTCAATGAAATCGGCTGCACCTACAAAAAGAAAAGTTAATTACATAAATGAAAACAAAATGTCTCCAACGGAAGAATATCGCCATCTTATCTGACACTTTTTTGAGAAAACATAATATCAGAGAGTTATAGGATAGTTAATTATGAAGTCCATGACAATTACCTCACATGATAGTTGTTATAGCCATTTTAGTGATGAAAGATAATCTCCAATCAATGGCGAACAAGTGTCCCATATTATGTGTAATCGAGTCGGCGCTTCAAGATAACAAAAGGCCCAATTCGGCCGACTCGACACGCCGACATCTTGCGATGATGACTCGAAAGGGGTTACGTGTCGACGCTTGGCTAAGTCGATTGCTTAATCACTCCACTAGACCGACTAATCGGCTGACACCGTGGGAAGATGACTCAAAAGGCAGAACTTCTCGACCACCGGACAAGTAGAAAGGCGTCGAAATGCCTTGAGCCCCCTCCCTTGCACGGGCAACCATCACCTTGCAGTAAATGTCATTAAATGCATTATGGGTGTCATCATTCCTCTGCCCCCCAATAGTCTTTATGACACATCGGACCACGTCGGCATCGCACACCTCCAACCACTTCGCATTAAATACCGAAGTGACATCTCCTCCACTCGTCGACCGACATCTGTAAAGCAGAGGCTGATGTGACTGTCATCCCATACTCAGCCGAAGTTATCATTCTACTCTTCTACCCTTATACCACCACTATAAATAGGGATACTATTTTTCATAATAAGAGTAAGATCTTTACATCTATGCACTGTGCTTAAAAACTACTGCAGTTCATTTTACTTCTTCACTCAAGCAAATCACTAACTTGATCATCGGAGGAACAACCTGGGAACTCAACCCCGCCCTCTTATGATTTGCTACTTGTGTGGCTGACGTGACCGTCATCCCATACTTAGCCAAAGTTATCATTCTACCCTTCTACCGTCACTATAAATAGGGATACTATTTTCAATAATAAGGTAAGATCTTTACATCTATCCACTATGCTTAAGAACTACTGCAATTCATTTCACTTCTCTACTCAAGCAAATCACTGACTTGATCGTCGGAGGAACAACCGGGGAACTCAACTCCGCCCTCTTATGATTTGTTGCTTGTGCAGGGAAGAACATCTTACTCCAGAACCAGATATTTGGAGGGTTAGAGGACCTCCATTAACTTAATCACTCCTTTCATTGACTGTTTGATATCAGACATCAACAATAGTTTAGTCGGTTTATTCTAAAAATTCATGGGAATTTTGTGAATGAACCATTGATGGTCGTTATTTAATTTCAAAATTGATTTGTGAAAGGGTCTGTACGTAATGGATGGGTTTCTAATTTTGATGGGGTGATTTGTTAACCACCTCTCAAGGTTTTGGCTCCTCTTCCAATTGGGTTTGCGGTGTTCATGGTGCATTTGGCCACCATCCCCATCACTGGAACAGGGATTAATCCGGCCAGAAGTCTGGGTCCTGCTGTCATCTTCAACAAACGAAAGGCTTGGGATGATCATGTACGTAAATAACCAGTACATAACTTAATCAATTTGTTAACTGATTAGTATAGCAAGAGGGTATATATATATTTATATGGATTGAGAAACAATTGTGCAAGTTGCTCGTTAGTTTTTCAAATGATTAATGATTGTTTTGGGTTGTCGGTTGAATTGCAGTGGATCTTCTGGGTTGGGCCTATAATTGGGGCTGCGGCAGCTGCGATCTATCATCAGATAGTGCTGAGAGCGGGAGGCATTAGGGCTATTGTCGGATCATCAGCCAGAAGCCACCGCTGACTTAATCAATCATTCATCATCTTGATCAGTTGTGAAGGAATTGAACAATCATAAAGGGTTTTCTATGTAATTTGTACCCTAATCATTTTTCGGTAGACTAGCTTTTTGGGTAACATTTTTTTTGGCGGTCTGCCATTTTGGGCGGACTAGTTTCAGACGTGCATAATGCAAATGACAAACATAGAAAGGACGATAAAAATAAAGACATTAGTTAGGTAGACATGCCCTCAAAAAATTTGTCTGAAATAATCATACTCTACATACCCACATCTTAAAGCTAAACTCATGTCAATGACTCTAAAATGTGGATGAATTATTGTCGTTGTCGTTGGTGGTGGTAGTGGTGTTGTTCTTTTTCCAGTAATTTGATCAACATGCCACCTGCAATTATCACATTTTTGTTAGGATAACTAGCACTTAAACACCCTATACTTTCTCCTAGCTCGCACTTAAATCCCTCCCTTGGTTTTGGGAGCACTTATTAACCCAAAATTTCTAAAAATTGGATTTTAATACCTCACGTAATGCAAACATGATGATTATCCCCAAGTTTCCTCATGTGACACTCATAGGCTAATTTTAAAACATTTTTAACTCTTAATGTTTGCAGAATTTACTAGTGAACATGCAATAATTCTATTTTAATCTATCCTAGTTACATTTTAAATATAATTATAGTGGCTGTAACATTAAATTTAACATATATAAAGGGCTAAAAGATATAAAATTAGCTTATAATTGCCATATAGAAAAATTTCGAGGTTCTCACATTTACATAACATGATGTATTAAAGTATCAAATTTTAGAAACTTTGGGATGTATGAGCGCTTCTAAAAACCAATGAGGATATAAAATGCAAACTAGCTAGGGGAAACTATAGGGTATTTAACTGCTAATTAGGCTGAAGTGTCTATGTTTTACGATTTGTAACTTAATAATTATAACCTCAGTCGTCTAAAAAAAACCAAACACCGAGAGTTACGCCTGTTAATAAATATTCTCAAGCCCAGTGGATTTAGGTCTTATGATGTTGAGGGGCTCTTCGGTTGTTTTTCTCTGTAAAAGATGGCAAAAACACTGTGGCTATGATTCAGACGCTTCACAAAAAATTTCAAGCCCGATGGAAAGTGGCTGCATTGTGGGGACCACATTAGCCTATTTTATACATAAATATCAAACTATAGTCGGATACACATAAATCCTCATTAGATAAAGTAGTTACCGAGTTGCATGAATCTACAGATTTGTTAATGTAAGTTCGAAAATTGAACGTTATTATTCTGTTTAATGATGCTATAGAAGAAGAGAATTGAGGTGCGAAAAAACAAGAGGAAGAAGCAATTAGCATATGCCCCCCTGTAATTTGCCTCTTCTTATTTCTTCTTATTCTCCACCGATGATTAAGGAAATAGTAATTTGCTACCAGCCTCAAAGGGGTGGAAAGGAACCGAGTTGAACGAATACTAGCTGCAGTATTCATTCAAGTTCGAATTCATTAGGATTAATTTGTTGAATTCGAGTTCGGAGACGCATAATGGAACGTCGTTCGAATTTGATTCGTTCAAACATTCATGTATCTCGGTAAAAGCATTCAAGAATGATCGATTGCTGCAGTTTGTTGAGCCTAATGGCTCCGCCAAAACACATTTGCCTCAAGTGTGGGGGGCAATCGTTCTCACTTCGGTTCAACATCAAAACATAAATAAATGACCGCTAAGCAGTTGAGGACTAATTGGTGTTCATACAGATGTAAATCCTTCATTGGATTGAAGTAGCTCCTGATCCACAGCTGTGAGCAACCTGCCTTCTTTGTTCTCATGATTTGGTTTGGGCCCTGATACTCGTATGACATTTTTTACCTCCTCCTCCTCTTCCTTTTCTTTTGATTAAAAATAAACCAGCATTACTTACTAGACTCAACCTAAGATTTCTCGGAAGTTATTTCCTCCCGTTAATTAATACAGAGCTACCAGTCGTCTTAATCTAATGACGGCGCATATTTGCTGAGATAGACACAATGTTAGTGGCGGGCCATCTCTATCACTATCCATTCATAATATTTCTTTTTTCTTTTTCAAAGAAAAGCAAGGAATGTAGCTGTCAATAACGGTCATCAACGTCTTTATCCTAATATATTAATATTAGATTAGCCTAATCCTCCTGTAATTATTGCTATTGATCATTCATGTCAGTCATCAGCGTCTGTATCCTAATATATTAATATTAGATTAGCCTAATGCTGTAATTATTGTTATTGATCATTCATGTCAGTCTCGAAAAAAAAATGTCATCGGTGGGCTGGGCCTCCCAGAGGCATCTCCACCTAATGAGCCTCCTGCCGCGCCAAACCGTCAACGAGAATCTCGCCGTCCATCCTCGTACGTGTCGATTGCAGGATGGATAGCAGCCTCACCAGAATGTGTGAGGCCTATATTCAGCCACGCGTTGGACTCTATTCTATCCAAAACCATCCTTATAGAGTCGAAAAAAACCACGAGGGCTTAATAGATTCGCAGATGAAACCATAGGAGCTTAATAGATTTTGAGGTGCCAATAGCAAGCATAATGCTCCTCCGTCCTTATTAACCGCACAGGATAACTAGTAAGCGAACAAATCGCCAACGCTCTCCCTCCTGCTCTAATTAAACACTGTAGGCTAATGACTAACACCAAATAAAACAGATATTTGTTTGCTGTAAGAAGAATTGTCCCGAAGAAAAACCACGAAAATAAAAGCTCCGCTCTAGGAAATGAAGAAGAATAAGAAGAAACGATAATGTTTTTTGGTAGTAAGCATGAATAAGGTGCATAATACATACGCACACCTCGCATGTGAGAGCTGGTGGAAGTGGGTTGAGGAGCCCTTTTCTTTCGGATGTCATCACCCCAAGTTTTGTACTTGCTTCCGTTTTAGAAAACATTATCTCTAACTAATGACATCTTCTCTCGCCAAAAAGAACGCTAATGGCAGCTTAGACTACCGTGTTCATTCGAACAAACAACAGCCGCACATATGATGTATGATGTTTATAAACTATTATTGGTCTCTATAATGAATACATACTAACTACTATGACCCGGACTTGATGCATAATGAAATCAAGTAATTTTAACATAAGCGCTCAAAATAAGTCAAATACAAAATTCATAGTTGTTTAGCAAAGAAAACTCACGTTAGGATCAGCATTCGAGTTTTTTTTTTTTTTTTTCAATCCCGATTTCAGATTCGAAATCTTTTGAGGAATACAAATATGAATGCCTTCACATTTGATTCGATCCGTTTCCATCATCGAGTAACATCCGTTAACATACGGACAAGAAAAAGTGAGCGAGCGCGAGAGCTAAGCTGGATGCGGGTCCCCTAAAAAAAATGACGGCAGATTGAAATTAGTGGTGGGGGTTAAGGGTCGGTTAGGGGCGGCACTTTTTAAAAAAAAAAAAAACACTCACTAAAAACAATTTCCACTCCCTTTGGCTCTGGTCACCGCACGCTAACCATAAATAGCCTTACAAACTTACACCTCCAACTCAACCTTAAAGCTAGTTTATTAGTAACCTGTTCCATAGTGCTCACTCTCCCCTTCGCTCTGTGAATCATCATGACTAAGGATGTCGAGGCTGCTCCTGAGCAGACTGAGTTCACTGCAAAGGACTACTCCGATCCTCCTCCGACTCCGCTCATCGACATGGATGAACTCACCAAGTGGTCACTGTACCGTGCTGTGATCGCAGAGTTCATAGCCACTCTTCTGTTCCTTTACATAACGGTTGCAACAGTTATCGGATACAAGCATCAGAGCGATCCTGCTATCAACGCTGATGCCGCTTGTAGTGGTGTCGGAATTCTTGGCATTGCTTGGGCTTTTGGGGGGATGATCTTTATTCTCGTCTATTGCACTGCCGGGATCTCTGGTATGCTTCACGCTGAGCCTATTGTTATTATTACTATTTAGTAGTAACCTCAGATGCATCCTTGCGCTTGGGTTACCCATAACCTAGCTCTAAAATTGCTTATTAATAACGAGACTTCATGATGCCCAGAAGAGTAACCTGGTGTCTGTGTGCTGCGGAAACCCCCCTTTTTTGTGTCGTACGTACGCGTGAACGTACCCCCTTCACATGCAAACAGAGAACAAAAGTGTAACTCTGTTTGGGCATCAAAGAGTCTAAAATGCGAATAGAAACACTTGCGAGGATAATTTAACATTGACATCCCTGAAGAAAAAAGATCATAGAGTTTTAATTAAGCTTTAATCTAATCTAGTAAGCGGCTATGCAGGTGGTCACATTAACCCCGCAGTGACCTTCGGCCTATTCCTAGCGAGAAAGGTGTCTTTGATCCGCGCGCTACTCTACATGATTGCTCAGTGCCTAGGCGCGATCTGCGGGGTTGGGCTCATCAAGGGTTTCCAGAAGGCCTATTACGATCGCTACGGTGGTGGAGCCAACGAACTTGCCGATGGCTACTCGAAGGGAACTGGCCTCGCTGCTGAGATTATCGGCACCTTTGTCCTTGTCTACACTGTCTTCTCTGCTACTGACCCCAAGCGCAGCGCTCGTGACTCCCACGTGCCGGTAACACTCACCTCCTCTGACACTGTTACCCTCAAGCTCTTCTCCGTTGCTTCTTCCTAATGTTATGAGTTGTTTTAATTCAGTTGTTGCTGTTGTTGATGTTATTGTAGGTTTTGGCTCCGCTTCCAATTGGGTTTGCAGTGTTCATGGTCCACTTGGCCACCATCCCTATCACTGGGACTGGAATTAACCCCGCTAGAAGCTTTGGAGCTGCTGTTATCTACAACAAGGATAAGGCTTGGGATGATCAGGTACGTGCCTAAACACAGTTATATCAATTCTACTTGGTTTGTCATTTTCATCTTAATTTGACCTAATTAAAGAAAGCATCACTTGATGGTGAGACAGCAGGTAGCATACATAGCATCTTATGTTTGCTTCTCCAAGCAGCCAACAGGCTGATGACAATCAAACTACAGCCTCTAAACACAACCTTTGACCTTCTTTTGTTGCCTAACAATAGTATATAACGTGTTAATATGGAAGCTTACGCGTATAGCTTCATTCGAAAATTGCAGTGGATCTTCTGGGTGGGCCCATTCATCGGTGCAGCAATCGCCGCAGCGTATCACCAGTACGTCCTGAGAGCAGGAGCTGTGAAGGCTCTGGGCTCTTTCAGGAGCAACGCCTAGATAGCCACTGTCAGTCAATGCTGCAGGCAGGCAGGCAGGCAGGCGATCGTGCTGGAACAAATAAGGGAAGTTAAAAAAAGTCTGAATGTGTGAATGGTTAGTGTGCGTGCTGAATTAATGAACTGTAGATATGCAAGGATTGAAATGGGGATTTTTTTCATGCCTTGTATTTCCCCATTCTGTCCATATCCCTGTAAGCTTTCTGTTTCCTCTCAATGATGGCTCCTACTGAGTGTATCTGGAAGGTGTTGCATTTCCAAGTCTTTGAGGCTGATAAATTGACAAATACTAATCCATGTACCCATAAGCTCCATGAGTTGCTCACCATCATCTATGCAATCACCTGGCAGCAGCATAGTGATTGACTTGAGTCTAGGATTTCAAAGATATCTGGAACATCGTGTAGTAACCATCCATTTTCATAATAAGGACCATCTACTTTTCCTCAAGTACGATCCAGTTCGATCTCTTTTACTTAAAAAATATCGATTTAGGCTATAACTAAATCAAACAAGGACCTCAAAGTTAGAGAAGCCTTTTGTCCATGCCTAGACAACTTTTTAGATATAACACTCTGTAGTTGATAGATTTTAACAGCCTGCTCATCCCCTGATACAACATGTTCTAATCATGCCTGGCTTCTAATTTGCAAGTCCTACATAACGAAATTTGTTGTTCAGCTGTTTGGTTCCAATACTCTATGAGGTTATGATCAGTACATTTCTTGCCTACATTAATGAAACAAAGGAGTATCTCCTAATACAAAGGAGCAAATCTAACAAGAATTTTCACAAGAAATGTAACTGGATATTTCCTTATTAAGATTTACTCAGGAGACACTTGCATACCATGCACTACAACATGCAAATAATATAAACTTGGCCTGGTAAGGGGAAGAAAATCAGATTCTCTCAGGACTTAACGAATCATGAAGACTTATTTGATCGACAATTGATACATGACTAAGACTTGGTTGGAGCCCTGAATATAATTAGCCTTTCACAGTACTGAAAACCACTTTATCAGTGAGCTGGTGTTTAGTGGATGCACACCTAACCCCCATCATCAGCAAAAACAATCGTCCATTGGTTTAGTCTCTCCACCACATACTAGAGGCAACTATAATAAGGCTGCTACTCTATCAGTAAAAGAGGTCCCCATGAATTTTGAGAACATTGAAGAGAGACAAGGATAAGAAGCAGAATTGTTTATAGCATACTGAACAGTCAGCTCAGGCCAGATGGAAACCTCAAAGGCCATTAGGTTCTTATTTAATTGGACAGTTAAGGCACGCTTGCTCTGGAACCCTATGTCAAGTTAGGGATTCCACTCAAAAACTTATTTAAATCACTAAATAGATCTTGAGCAGATCCATCTCTATCATCTCCATTCATGTCAAGAACTTTTGACACCTATAAGGCTATAATATTGTGATGGTGGTTGAACAACCTTGTTGGTTTTTTTGCTCATATGACGCAGCACGGAAGTAGTAGCCTCGGAATCCACCAAGAACAATCTTCGAATCCACGAAGTAAATATTAAAGAAAAACAAAATTTTATTAATCAAAAGTTATTATTCTCCTTTAGGGTTACATGACTCTTCTTAAATAGAAAAACAAATAAGACTCCTAGTAAGACTAGAAATACAAAGAAATAGAAAATATCAAATTCTATCCTAAAAAGACTCATTATAATAGAGAAAACTCTCTATATTGGAGGAAACAAATTATGAATCAAAATTGAATTTGTTTCCTAATCTAATTTGACTCTAATATTGAATTTATTTCCTAATCTAAATAGACTCCAATTTTATTACTAAAAAATAAACTAAAAGCTTATTATTTTCAGATTTCAGCCAAACTTGGGTGTAACTGATGAGATTTTAAAAATCTGACAATCTAGTTGGCTCTGTCTCGTCGAGATAGGCGATTTACATATATAATATGTTAGAATCCGCTTTCTGGATTGGAAGATATAATCATTTCTTTGCGGAGGTCAATAATACGTATAAATCTGTATTTAGCTCGTGATTGTCTGCATCCTTCATGAAATTGTCAGTTAAGCGTCCTACATCAGTCTCCCCTTGTTGAAAGAAACTCGATCTCGAGCTTATATTTGCTTAAATAGTAACTTCATCGATAAATATCTTTCTTAACCTGCATCGGTCAGCATCCGCCTTGTACTTAACATTGATTTTCTCCATTTGTTCTTTACGTTCTCGGCTAGGACTTCTTCTGAATCAAATTTATATATTATTCTTTCCGACATCATGTGTATTTTATTGGCGACATGTGGATGTGCAGTTGACTTCAAAAACTCCATAAAATATGTTCCATGTTGCTTCTCGTATTCTAGTGCTTGAAGTATCATCAAATTCTTTTTAAAATTATTCACCAACTTTGCTTCTAGGTAAGAAAATCCCGCGTCATACTCCATACCCAATATTTTCATCTCCTTTGTCTCTAGCCCTCCACCAAGCAATTCACACATATCATCAATTGTCTCACTCTCTAATTTATCCTTCTCTTCCATCGGGACAACATCAATATGTGTAATATCACTCTCAACCCCTTTGAGAATATCATGCATATCATCCATCTTCACTATCATATCACCATAATGAATCTCATGCACAACAGTTATTTGCACCTAAGGAGGAACTTCGGTAGGGGCAGGTTATTCTTTTTTAGTTACAACCAAGTCATAAACCTCTTCAGATTGCTTCAAGTTTTCTGCTAAAGCCTCGTTGTTTGCCAAAGTTTTTTCTCCTTAGTAGTTTTTATCTTAGATGGCTCATTTTCTGTAAGAGGCAGAAGTATAATTCGGCGTCCGTCTTTCTTGAATATATAAACATTGTTTCTACTTCTGTGGGTAGCTCCAATATCGAATTGTCACGGCCTACCTAAAAGCATATGACAAGTATCTATCTCGACCACATCACACAACATATCATCAAAATACCTGTGACCGATAGAAAAAGATACACAACACATCTCATCGTTCTGCACATCATTGCCCTTGTGAATCCAATCGATCTTGTAGAGAGGTAGGTGTTTCTCTGTCTTCAAACCTAACTTATTCACCATACGTTGAGAGACAAGATTCTTTCTACTGTGATTGTCAATAATAACATGACAAATCTTCTACATCACAGTGCACCTCGTGCTGAAGATATTGTGCTCTGGTGGTGATTCTTCTTTCTTTATTGCTTCTTTAGTGCTCTTCCCAACTCTAAGGTCTTGCTTAGGGTCATTGTCGCTGTTGAATTCATCATGTGGAGTCGAATCACGTCGCTAGCGACCATCAACGTGATTTTGAACTCCTCTCGTGTTCAGACGCTCCACTGCCGACGTAAGTCGCTCTATGACAGTCTTCATCTGATTAACACCGGTCTTCAGCACGTCGAACTTGGTTCGAGAAATAGGGGGCTTCATCATCTGCCATCGGATAGGAGGAACAAGGTTCTTATACCAATTGACGCAGCGCGGAAGTAGTAGCCTCGGAAATCCACCAATGACAATCTTCGAATCCACGAAGAGCTTCGAATCCACGAAGTAAATATTGAAGAAAAAAAATTATTAATCAAAAGTTATTATTCTCCTTTGGAGTTACATGATTCTTCTTAAATAGAAAAACAAATAAGACTCCTAGTAAGACTAGAATTACAAAAAAATAGAAAGTATCAAATTCTATCCTAAAAATACTCCTTATAATAGAGAAAACTCTCTATATTAGAGAAAACAAATCATGAATCAAAATTGAATTTGTTTCCTAATCTAATTTGACTCTAATATTGAATTTATTTCCTAATCTAAATAGACTTCAATTTTATTACTAAAAAATAAACTAAAAGCTGATTATTTTTAGATTTCAGCCAAACTTGGGTGTAACTGATGAGATTTTAAAAATCTGACAATCTAGTTGGCTCCGTCTCGTCGAGATAGACGATTTACATATATAATATGTTAAAATCTGCCTTCTGGGTTGGAAGATATGATCATTTCTTTGCGGAGGTCAATAATACGTATAAATCTGTATTTAGCTCGTGATTGTCTGCATCCCCCATGAAATTGTCAATTAAGCGTCCTACATCATCATACATAAGTGGGTAAAGGACCTTATCTATATCTTTCCACTATATTTTTCTTAAGTGCCTTAATACCCCCACTGCCGCCTTAACCTTCACAAGTCTCTGTCTCCTATCGGTTCCAAGCTCAACAACTTGCAAGTAGGAGATGGACACAGAATAGAAAAGGTTAATGGACTGCCGTCCCTCAACTCAAAATTCAGTCCAACAGACTTGCATGTGTGCCCGCCCCGCCTTCCGGATTCCATAATAGGGGCATGTATGCCCCTCAGATATCTGTGTTTTCTGAGACAGATTTGAACCCAAATAGGAGACATCCAATCAGCATTTACTATCAAGAGCATAATTCAACCTAGAATCATATTGATGAATTGGAACTAAACTGGACTTGAAACTGATTATACCCAAACTAATACAGATGGAAATGACAAAGGCATGTTTTAGAATCTCAAGATACAGCTTGAACCTGTCATTACAGCCAAAACAAGTTTGACAAGATAAATCTTATGTAGACCAATCAAATTCCTTAGTTGCAAATACATCTCTAACACATTTTTATTTGTTTGAAATATTAGAAATATTATAAATTTCAAGCATGTTACAGAAGAATCGAGTAGGTATGCACTGAATATCCTAGTATACAAGTCCAAGAAAATATCCATGCAACATAAATTGGTTTACTGCTAAGCTAGTAGCAGAAGTTCCAAAGTCATGCTTACACATTTCTGCAGCACATATCAACATTAAGAAGATCTTACTGTCAAATGTGAGGTTATGAAACTAGGGTTAAAGCACACTCAATGACCACACTATATTAACAATAAAAAGGTTTTAATTCATCAAGGGATGGACAGGCTCTCACAGTCTCAGGTATGCACAAATGTTTGATAAATAAAGTATCCTCCGCAGCATCTTGAACCCATGACCACGCATAAGAAAACAACTGTTGACCAATACTCCAAGTTCCTCTTTAAAAACGTTATGCATAAATTAGATATGATGCTAACTTATTACTGAGTCCACAAAACAAATATCATAAATCCTATTCATATCATTTTGGACTAGGACCTATTCATATCATTTTGGACTAGGACTGAACATCCTAATCATAATAATCCTACAAAAAGCCTAAGTTGGTCCTTTCCCTATGCAGGATGATCCAACTAAAAGCATCTAGACTGTTCTCTTAAGAGGGTGTGCACATGTGCAGATATGGATCAAGGTTTACTGATATCCGGAAATTATATATTGTTGCATCTCTACTTGTGGGTTGTGACTAATTCAGGTCATGTGTGCATGTTGCCTCAGTCTGGAACCATGTATTCAAGGACAATCAATATTCTTATACATTAAAATAATTCTACTAAATAGTTGTGACTTGTGACAGTGTTTATGGAGTCCAATAAAATTGTTCAAAACCACAGTGATCACAGAAATCATTCACAGAAACATACAAAGGCAGATTAAGTGAGAACAATTTTGTATCTCCTTTCTACCTATAACAAATGCAATTCATTATCCTAAGGCTGGCAATGCACAATTTGTCATGATAAAAGAACTGAACAATAGGATTTCGAAGATGGCCTACTCATCCTCACATTCATGCACAATCAACCATATAGGATGAGAAATCTATATTTCACAGGTTATTGCTCTTCCTCATCCCGAGATGCTGCAACTGAACATACATCACATGGGTCAAAATAAAAGCATAGAAAGACTATTCAACATCAGAAAATTGCCTGATATAAAAATACTGAGATAAAGTTTCAATTAAGCCCTGACCTTGGTGACTTATTTCTCATTAAAAATAAAAAACAAAATATTTCTTCAAACACTAGGCAGATAAGAAGCATTGACCTTGTCAGGGGCCTTGGTATGAAACACTTTGAATACGACAATGTGTCAAAATCTAAGAAATTAACATACAACATCTCTAGGTAACAGGAATATGACATATTAAAAAACTGAGATGAAGTTTTAATCAAGTCCTGATCTTGATAATTTATTTCTCATTAAATGTCCACCAACACATTAAGAATAATAAACAAAATATTTCTTGTAAATTTAGGTAAATAAGAAGCATTGACCTTGCCACGAGGCTGGGTATGAAACAGTTCGAATACGACAAAGTGGCAAATTCTGAAAGTTTTACATATGAGACCTTGCCACGAGGCTGGGTATGAAACAGTTAGAATACGACAAAGTGGCAAATTCTGAAAGTTTTACATATGACATCTAGGTAACAGAGATAGACCCACACATTCATATTCATACATGTATAAAATCATACGTCAGAGATATCATAAACTAAGGACCTTGGAATAAATGTGACCATGGGTTAAAATAACATATGACCCTAAATGCACTTTTTTCATTTCTTTTTACAACGATACGTCACATAGCAAATTCATCATAGGTTTGTTACTATGTTGTAAAGCTAACACGCACCCACACAAAATAAAAACAAGGCTTAATTCAACTTAAGTACCCTATAATATCCTCTATGTTGCACTTATATACCCTCATTTGTTTTTGGCAGCATTTAAATACGCTAAAGTTTTCAATTGCACTTACATATCCTCACTTGTTTTTGCTAGCACCTATATACCATAAAGTTTTTAAAACTCACTTAAATACCGTAAAATTTTTAAAACTGGCACTTAAACACCCTAAAGTTTTTAAAACTTGCACTTAAGAGAGTATTTAAGTTCAAGTTTTTAAAAACTTTAGGCCCTGTTTGATTTGGATGGAAATGAAGGAAAAGAAAAAAAAAAGTGGAAAAGATAATAGCTTTGGTGTTTGGTTAGGAGGAAAGAAAGAGGAAAAGTGACAACAACCACCACCACCACCCCCACCCCCACCACCAAGCCTTTATCCCAAATGTTTGAGGTCGACTACATGAATCCTATTTTTTCATTCCATTTTATTGCGGGTCATTTCCTCCATTACGTTCTTCTTAATTATATCATTCTTAATTGCTTCTGACCAAATCATTCTAGGTCGACCTCTAGATCTCCTAGCACCATTACTCTAATATTATCACTTTTTCTAATCGGTACACTAAGGGGTCCCCTTTGTACACGACCAAACCATCTTAATCTATTCTCTCTCATTTTATCATCAATAGGTGCAATCTCTAATTTATTACGGATGCATTCATTTCTTATCCTATCTTTTAATATATACCCACAAAACCATCGCAACATTCTCATTTGTGCTACACTCATTTTTTGAATATGTTATTTTTTAATTGCCCAACATTCTAAACCATAAAGCAGCATAGTTGGTCTTATAACCATCCTGTAGAATTTCCCCTTTAGTTTAATTAATATTCTACGATCACATAAGACTCCCAAAGCACTCCTCTATTTCAACCATCCCGATTTGATTTGATGCACAACATCATTCTCTATCTCACTATCATGCCTAATGATAGAACATAAATAGCGAAAATGATTAGTTTTAGATATTTCTTGGCCATTAATATGTAATGTACCATATGCTCTCTTTCTTTCCTACTTTTACTAAAAATGCATTCCATATATTCTGTTTTTGTTTTACTAATTCTAAAATCTTTAGACTCAAGAGCTTACCTTCATCTTCTACTTTAGCAATAATGTCTCTTCTAGTTTCATCAATTAATACTATATCATCAGTAAATAACATATACCATAAAATTTCATCCTGAATGTGCTTAGTAAGTTGGTCCATAACTAATGCAAAAAGATAAGAACTTAAAACTGACCATTAGTGTAAACCTATGGTAATAGGAAATGATTCAGTCTCTCCATTAGTTCTTCCTCAGTTGTTACTCTATCATACATATATTTAATCACATCAATATATATACTAGATACATATTTTTTTCTAACACCCACCACATTACCTCTCTAGGTACCCTATCATAAGCTTTTTCTAGATCAATAAAAATCATATACATCCTTTCTCTTCTCTCTATATCTCTCCAGCAACCATCTCAAAATATGTATAAGTTCCATAGTTGATCTCTCAGGCATAAAATCAAATTGATTTTCAGATATACATGTTTCTTTTCTTAGACTTTGTTTAATTACCCTCTCCTAAAGTTTTATTGTATGACTCATGAGTTTTTTACCTTGATAATTTGAACAACTTTGTATATCCTATTTATTCTTATATATTGGTATCAAAATACTAATCATCCACTCATCTGGCATTATTTTCGTCTCGATAATCTTATTAAACAGTTTAGTTAACCATCCTAAATCCAAGACATTTCCAAACTTCAATAGGGATATCGTCCGGTCCTACGACTCGTCCACTTTTTATTTTCTTTAGAGCATTTTAGCCTCACTAATCCTAATTTTACGATAATATATATAGTTCCTATCATTCACTACATCGTCAAAATCTCTATTTTGCTCACTTGTTTGATTATCACTAAACAATTGATAAAAATAACCCCTCCACCTCTCTTTTATTTCCCCGTCGGTTACTAGAACTCTTTGATCCTCACTTTTAATACATCTAATATTACCTAAATCTCTACTCTTCCTTTCTCTAATCTTAGCAAGATTAAATATATCTTTCCCTCCCTCCTTAGATTCTAACTTCTTATAAAAATTTTCATAAGCTTTGTATTTATTCTTACTAACCGTTTTTTTTTTCTTCCTTCCTTACTCGTTTATATTTTTCTAACTTTTTCCTATTACCACGCTTTTGTCACTCTTTATATAAAGTTTTCTTCTCTCTAATAACTTTTTACACACTCTCATTCCACCAACAACTCTCCTTACCGTCTAATCTACAACCTTTAGTTTCTCCTAGCATATTTTTAGCTATTTTCCTAATACAAGAAGACATGCTATCCAGATAATATTAGTCTCATTATCTATGTTCCATATATATTCTTTCATTATCTTATCTTTAAAATGTATTAAATTCTCTCCTTTAAAATTTCACTATTTAGTTATTAGTCTTTTGTTCACGTGAGTTTTCTACTCTACTTTTTAATAGATATATTTAAAACTATCAACCTATGTTGTGTACTTAAACTCTCTCCTGATATGACTTTACAAACCTTGCATATTAGCCTATTCACCATTCTAGTAAGAAAAAAGTTTATTTGACTATTATTAAAATCACTTTTAAAGGTTATTAAGTGTTCATTCCTTTTTCTAAAAAGTGTATTTGCTATTATCCAATCATATGATATTGCAAACTCTAGAATTGATTTACTCATATTGTTATTATCTTAATACACAAAACCTTCATGTATCCTCTCATATCCGTTATTATCCTTACCAACATGCCCATTAAGATCCTCTCCTATAAGTAATTTCTCTCTAAATGGGATTCCTTGTACCAATTCATCTAATCTATCCCAAAATTTCCTTTTAGTACACTCGGGTACGTAAGTACTAATAATATTAATAACCTCTACACCTAAGATACCTTTTATTATTATTATTCTATCTCTAACTCTTCTTACATCTACAACACTTTCTTTTATTATATTATCTACAAGAACTTCCACTCCTTTCTTATTCTTCTCTTTTCCTGTGTACCAAAGTTTATATCCGGACTTTTCAATTTCTCTAGATTTTTCACCTATCCATTTAGTTCTTTATAAATAAATTATATTTATCTTTCTTCTAATCATGACATCCACTAATTTCATTGTCTTTCCGATAAGTGTACCTATATTCCAAGTAGCTAATCTAGTTCTATTTTTTGTAAAAGTCTCCTATCATTTTCCCTCTTAGACCGTTCTGGTCCATACCTAATACTATTAGGTATCCTATTAGATGATTGTAGATTTTTAGAACACTCTTACTTACTTGTCATTACACCGGGGTGACATCGATGTAATGCGTCGCTTCTAGGGGACGCCCTAGCAAATCACCCTACTTATCATTGCATCAGGGTAGATCGATGCAACGTGTCGCGGTGGGGAAGCCCCAAGAAGTATATAATAAGATTCATTTTGCATGTGGATCCGACTATATTTTATGCTGGCTGTCGACTACCTAACACAACCCTTCTCTTTTATCTTGGTTTGGGACAAACAGTGCTAACAAACAGCACTGGCAGAGTTAAAGAAAGAGCAAAAGTGAAAACAAGAAAATCAAGAAGAAAAAATCGCTCCAATTCTCCTTCTTAGATTCTTCAACAGAACATAGTGAAAGTGAAGGAAAAGAGAATCGGGTCGCTTGAAGCAGCTCTCCAGTTGACTCCTCAGACAAAAATAGGGACATCAGCCACCACCTCACTGAATCTCATTTCCTCTAACTTTTTGTTACTATAGGCCCCACTAAACTTGTATTAGAAAAGTCATTCTCCATTTTATGTGGGCCCCATATGTAAAAAGTAATAAAAATGAATGAGTTGTAGGTTAAGTTCAATAAAATGTGATTACTTTCAAAAATCTCCTTAAACTTTAGGATTTTACAAATAAACCCCTAAGCTATTTTAATTTCCACAAAACTATTTTTCACATAAGCATCCTAATTACTTTAGTTCCACTAAAACCCTTGAAGATCTACCACTGTACCCCAAATGTAACATGATAAAGTCTAAGGTGTCACGTGTCTAGCTAGATCAAACAACTAGACCAAACAAAAGAAATTACTTCCTTCATCATTTTTTCCCCGATTTTCTTTACAACTTTCTAGCTAATCAAACAGCAAAAAGAAT